TCGCGTTCGCGTGGTTCTACGCCAAGTTTTTCTTGTGAGCTTCTATTGTGACCTTATTTCTGGACTCGAATCTCTTAAAATTTCATTTATTCGTTTTGTGTTTTTGGCTTTTCTCAACGATATCGGAGTCGTTTTTATTAATACGTGTTCAAAATGCCACGAGCGCCCACCCAACCAATTCCTCAGGCATCCGAAGATGCTGTAAATCATCAGTAATTGTAGTTCCTCGTCCACCTCGCGCATCTGTTTTACAGCATTCGAAAATTCCCCATAATCACGCTTATGTGCATGAACAAACCAGCGACGTTGACAGAATAATTTGATCGTAATAAATCGTAATTAGCAAACGAACTGTTTGACGCAGTTATGAAGTACGAAGAACACTCTAGCGCAGGCGATCCAGATGTACTAACAACGCAAGTTTTAAGCAAGCAAGCTCGCTGCAGATTGAAAAACTGTCTCAAAGGAGAAGATGCAAGATTCAGCAAGAAGATGCACAACGGAGAAAACGCAAATTAAAAGATTTATCTAAAGTGATCGCACAGAACAATCAATGAAATTATAAATGTTTAAAACAACTATAAGAAGAGTATAAAGCTAAAGTCGCTAAAGTACTAGTAAGTTCTTTAAAAGTGCCATTTATTATTGTAATAATTCGTAAAATTAATCCGTACTGATATTTGTGTTTATACTGCATTGGCAGTTTGCGCTTCAGGCAATCTGCTTAAATTTCTGAATTTGCCATACAGTGTTGGCTACCGCCAACTGTGCTGGCCAGTCTCTGTATCGGTTTTGAATTTATCTGGATCTGGAGCCGTCTCCCGACGGAGTATACCCCATGCTTAAGCTCTACCAATTGGGCGGCACATGCCTGATAAAAAAGTGTAATGTGCCCCGTAAATTGTGCGGCAATGCCGATGGCCGTGGTATTACAGAACGCCTCGCGTGCGACCGTTTTCGCGTGTTACATGGCGCATGCGCATTTCCCCTTTTGGCGCACTGCGAAATTCCTGTAGTTTGTGACGTCAAAATGACACACTGCCAGTCTGCAATCCCGGCGAGAATCACGAATAAGAAATTAAGAATCGCTTGCTTCTGGGTCTGAACCGCCTACCGGGGGTGTTGCCTAATCCTACAGATGCGGTTCAGTGCACTCTGACGCAGCTGTCGGTTGTCAGCTGACCTGCCAGCCAGGAATGCAGTCTGTCCGTGACTCCGTGTATCTGAGCTAGTTTGAACACGAAACAGGTTTGCGCAGGTGCAGCGGTTCTTCACAACCAGCTGGCGTTTTGTTTTTGTTTCCGTTACAACTCTAAGAACTCTTGCAGACTTTTTTACTCCGTCTGTTTGTGCCAATATTCGATCGGACTAACAGACGTCGAGTTACTTAGCCCGTTATATTATGTCTGATTCTACCGCGTGGGGATGGCAGGGCGCCACCACCGGAGTTCGAGACCGTTGGGAGCATGTCCTGGAATGTGGAAATTTCAGTGACGTGCAGTTTGTCGTCGAACAGAGCCAGGGCGAAGCCAAAATTTTCCGCGCGCACAAGTACTTCCGATGCTGCTGTGTTTTACTGCAATGATGTTAAACAGTTCCAGAATAGACTCGTTGGATGCTTAGAGCTGTCTAGGTGGTGAATTATTTTGTCGTTGGTAGGCTTCTGCTGTGCATGGGTAGCGCGGTGTTCGAGACGATGTTCCACGGGAGTATGCCGGAAGCCGGCGACAAACCTATCAAAATTTCCGACGTCACGGCGGAAACATTCGGCAACGTGTTGAGGCAAGTGGTGCATGTTGTTTTTACTGCAAATCTGAAAATGGTACTGCAGACTGCTATCAAAAACTATGTGAATGTGCTATTGTGAATGTGCTTCGAAGGCTCTAGGCAAGATGCAGCCAAAGCGTACTGCTGCTTTCCTTTAAATCGACGCAAATTTACCCGTTAATGTTTTCCGAAGATTCCTTTATATAAGACCTCTTCTTTGATGTACGTCAGTAGCTATTTGTACACGGATCGTACGGATGATATGAAAATGGAAAATGCTTTTGAAACTCTGTATTGCGCTGAAAAATACGGGATTCCATCGCTGTTCACACACTGCTCCCAGTTTATTGTCAGCCGGTTGGACAGCAACAATTGCTTGATCAATCTGGAAAAGGTTCGTACTTGAAAAAAGCATCACTGAACATTGCCGAACAGGTCCACCGATTATAGCAGTTTTACTTGCATATTTTATAGGCACTGCGCTTCGGTGCCGACAGTGTGATCAAGGGTTGCCTGGAATTCATCGACGCCAACTGCAAAGCAGTGCTGGATACCCCAGAGTTCATAGCTGTCCGACACGAGATCCTGGAGAAGATTCTGCAGCGCAATACGTTAGCTGTTGATGAGAATACGGTTTACAAAGCGGTCGAAAGGTACAAAACAATCAGCATTATCGATGCCTTTTTAAGCGTGTTGCAGTTCGAAGTTGTAAATGTTTATATAGATGGGCGGCGAACGCTTGCGCCGAGGCCGGAATCGACAGTTCCGCAGACAACCGTCGTCAGGTGTTGGGAACGGCGTTGTACCTGGTGCGCTTTCCACTGCTGACGGATGGGGAAATCGCCAATGGCCCGTTAAAGGTCAGTCAAATTCGGCATGATACATTCTTCCAAAAAGCGATAACATTGGTTTATGAACGTTGCAGAGCGGATTGCTGTTGAAGGAGGAATTCTGCGCCATCTACGAGTATCTGTATAAGCACGGCGCCGATAAGCCGCATATTCCGTTTCCGGCTACGCCGCGTGTTCATCTTTTGTCAGACCACCCGGTGCGCCATGCCAGACAGCGACCCAGCGCATTTTTTATTCCTCCGCGTCGCCGATGAGATAACGTCTGCCTTAATCGTAGCGAGCTGTTTCTCGGGATAACGACCGGACAGTATGTCAAGAATTTCACGTCAGGTTTGCAGCCGCTCTTATGTCTGGAAATTTCGTTCAGAAGTGTTTGGTGCGGCAGTAAAGTAATAGTTTTTGACGCGTAAAAGCTTATTTACAGATACTTTGTAATTTTGTAATTCTACTTTCAGTTATTTCAAGTACGTAATTTTTTAAAATTTGTACAGTCAAACTGTGTTGAGCTTGCTGCTGAGTTTGGCAACTGTCTCATACCTACGGTGATTTTTCATCTTTGTTCCTGTTAATTTTGGAACTTGTTTTTTTGTGAAACGTAGAGCGGACCAGCGGCGTTGTACGTGGTACCTGCGGTTCGGCTTTTGTATAACTGGATCTTTGTACCGTTGTATAATAATTTACGCAGTACCAGGGCAGATCTCAATACAGGCAATACCACTGACTCGTTACGTCATCCCTAGAGTAGCTCGCATATTAGCGCGGCTATAGTAAAATGCTGGGGAAAATCGGTTTGCTCCCCTTTTTCTGTTTCTGTTGAATGCGATACGAACTGCAAAATATGCGTATTAACTTCCTCTATTTTTATAAATAAAAGAATCTTTAAATGTGTAACGTGCATAACTTAAAATCAATTTCCCACTATCCTATATATTAATAAAATAAGCCTTAGCGAATTCCATTTCTGTCACCCTTTTTTGAGCGATCCACTGAGCCAAACTTTGATGTCTATATGTCATTTAATAGCCGTGAGTTTGCAGATTTGCAGAAACCAGTCAGTTTTTTGAAAGTGTGTGAAGCTTTAGAGAAAATCCTAAAAGAACTTAACATACAAAGTCTATCACTGGATTGTTTTGTCGGGACGCACTGACTAAAATTTAACGAAGCTCCGAATGGTATCTGAACCAGTAGAAGTACTGCAATACGGCTACAAAAATTTCAGTAATTATGGAGTTTTTTTTATTTGTAGTTCTTGACAACTGACCGGCATATGCTGCTAATTGCGAGAAGCTTAAAAACTTTGTTATAACTGCAAACAAAAAGGACATATTCCTGGAAATTTTCAAATTTTTCGGGTCTAATGTAAGTTTAAATCTGAAGTCGGCGGAACGCGACAATTTTTTCTCAAAACGGCCTTAAACATTTAATTAGTAAACTGTGATACATTCTAACTGCTACCAATCTGTCAGTGAACTATGACCAAAGACCCAAAATAAAGAATTATTTACGACATTAGTTATGATAAGCATAACCAAACAGGTATTGGGCAGATACTGTTTGTCTCTGCCTATGAAACTAATCAAACTGTATTATTATTAATATTCTTATACGCTCCGCTCAATAAAACTAAATTTGCAGTCCTGGGTTTGTACTTTGTAGTTTTCCTAAATAAAAATTTATCGCCGATTTATTCCGCGCAGTTTGCGCGGGGTCTACTAGTTTTTTAATAATTTCCCCATACAAATGCAGTGTGCGGTACTGTGGGCAACTGTTCATATTAAATCACCGATGCGTGATTCTATCTCGGTATTCTCCATGTAAATTAGTCCAATTAGTTCTTTAATTTTGCACATTGTTCAGTTCAGTATCTGTTTCATTTTTTTCTTAGATTTTGAAAAGTTTCATTTGAATAAATCAACAAAACCAACTCGTGCAGTAATAATTTTGCCGTATACCGGTAGAAACCAATAAGTTTCCAACAGCCGCTTTGGAACTTGCCGCACCGTACTTAATCATGTTGCCTCTTCCTATTGCTTATTTTATATTAGAAATAAAATCCCAACTGCAATAAAAGAGCGAAAACGACTAAAAAAACACAAATAAGCTTTGAAAAGCTTAAAAAACTCTGGCTTTCACGGTGTTCTTCGGCAATTTGGGCTACTCTAGCGCTTTCGTCATTCCAAATCCCGCCCTCAGTGGGGTTGCCTGTATTGAGATCTGCCTTGTTTGTATCTATGATTAGTACTTAATATCTAATTCTACTGAAACTCTACCGAGCGCCAAACGCACTGGGACGGCAGCGGCATGCAATACTCGTGCGAGCAGTACTCGTGCGTAAAGCATTTGACTCAATCACTCAATGCCAAAGATTTTTGGAAACTTTGTCACTTGTGTTAATTTTCGTTCACTTTGGGATTGATCATTGCTATCACATATTTCTGTCAGGGAATTCTGCGCTTAATTCTTATCAGCTGTTTGAGGCTGCCTGATTTTGTCCTGTAGCCTACAAGCTGCAAGTGTACAACTGTGTAAGCTGTTTCTACGATCGCCGTTAGCAGCTATATCGACGATGGCAGCGAGCCAGGAACCTGTTGCAGCCCCAGGCATCGCCAGTCGTCTGAAACGCACGCTGGCCAGTGGGAACCACCACGACGTCGAATTTGCAGTTGGCCGACAGTTCGGGGAGGCGAAGAAGCTGCAGGCACATAAGTACGATCGCCTGGGAAGCCGGGATATCAGCTGTGTGCTGTGTGTATTCTTCCAAAGTGCAGGACGTTGTTCTGCCTGGCTTACTGATGTCGTGTTGCGTTGCAGGTTACTGCTGAGTATCAGCAGTGATATCTTTGATCGGATGTTCTACGGGAGTTTGTCAGAGAAATGCGACGCACCGATTAATGTTCCTGATATACTGCCAGATGCCTTCCTCAATATGCTCAGGTGCGCACTTAAACAGAGATGCTGTTTTCGTCTACGTTGTCCTAAATGCAGATGCCACGCAGTCCTCAGAATCCTGTTGAGTTTTTTGTTATTCTGAGTTTGCTATGATAAAAATATTCCGCGTTTTCGTTTTCCCCTTGGCACAGGATTACTGTACCAATTTTTCTGCTTGCTACAGTGCGGCTCCATTAATTCAGACACGAAATAAAACAATTAAAAGATTTGATTAATGTGTATTCGATTTTTTATAATTACGAGTGATACTAGATGATGATTACCAGATTTCCAGATGTATTTTTAGAAAAAGCGGCTAACGGTTTAAAACGACAAATTAACTAATGAAAAAGTAAAGTTTAAATGCACTCCACATGTAAGTGCAGTTCTTGTTCCTTCCGTTTAATTCACTGCTTTCGTTCGCAGTTTTGTGTACACGGACACCGTGAAGAGCCTGACCATTAACAACGTGGTCCAGACGATGTTCTGCGCGGAAAAGTACAACATGCAGCCGCTATTTGATCTGTGCTCGGAGTTCATCATTGGTCAACTGAACGTGGACAACTGTCTGACGGTTCTGCAGAGTGTGCGTAATGTTTTCGTTTTGCTGGCACCAGTGTGTGATTCTGATCAATTTTGAATCTTGGCGTTTGGTAGGTGAAGCAGCTGGGCGCGGATGCCGTTGTGGAGAAATGCCTGGAAATGGTGGATACCAACTCCGACACCGTTCTACAGTCGCAGCAGTTTCTGGAGATTGATAACAGCAATACGCTGCAGTTGATCATGGCACGTGACACACTGTCCGCTGCAGAGAACCTTATCTACGCGGCTGTAGAGAAGTAAACAGTGAAAACTACGGAAACCTACGGTACAGTGGGTGAATATCGTTTTACTCGTCTTCAATATGGTAATTTTTGGGCAGTAAACACTCTCCAGTCGATACTGCAGTACTTGATTCGGAAATTTCATTTTTCTAAACAAGTTCATTCTATTTCAATATTGTTTATTGGGTGTTTTAACGAGTATTTTTGTAACCCTTGTTATTGTTGATTTGTGTGCGTTTGGTAGATCTACCTTCCTCTTGTAGGTGGGCGGTGAATGGCTGCAGAATACGCGATGTGGATCCCACTCCAGCCAATCGTCGTGAGATGCTGCGACCGGCGCTGTACTGTGTGCGCTTTCCGCAGATGTTGGATATCCAACTGGCGGACGGCCCAGTCAAGGTGTGTGGGATAATGCAGTTCGCAAGTACGGATAGTCCTGGACTCCTGGGTTATCACTCAGCGCACCCAGAACCACCCTATGCTAAGATCAATTAGTTTTGTCTTAATAATAAAGTATGTTTCAATTTAAAGAAAAAGGTTCATTAAAATTTAGCCGATCTTATAGTATTAGAAATTACAATATATTATAAATATCAGTAGCTTATTATTTCCTTAATAGCTTTTCAGTAGCTTGTTATTTCCTCTGCTGTAGTTAGAAAATACAACATGCACGGTTGTTTTAATTATTTGCAGCATATATCATTCACATTAAAATACTTTGTAGACGGGTTTACTGTATTTTGATGAGCTGCGGAATATTTACCGATTCACGCACGCCACCGAAAAGCCGCTCTTGATTTCCCCACCGAAGCTCGCCGTCCCATCCAGTACCTGGCAACTTTCCAGATTGGAGAAGCAGTGTTTTTCCAATACGAGGAAGTGATCGCCAAGAAGTATAACAATTGGCACGCGGCGTACCTTAGAGGGATCGACGGGGAAATGTTCTGTGTTGAATGGGCGGAGGATTTAGCGGTGGACATTCGCATTCCGGGGGAGATCATGCGTGCCGCGGACATCCTGCAGAGTTGGCAGAAAGTGGTGGTGTTGGCTGGGACTGGCCATTATGAAGACGATAAGCCGGCATTTTATGATAAGCGTCTAGCGGTTGGACATCAAGTTGTAACCTTTCAGCCGGTCATCATGACAGCTGCGTTCGGGGAGCTGGTGGTGCTCCATGACGATGTACTGCAGTGGAAAGCGAAGATGGCGGCGTGCCGTTTACTGGAGGAGTAGGGCTGCTCATTTTGTTTTGAAAGGGGATTTTGTCGTTGATGCTGGCGTTTTGTACGACTATGTAATACGGAACTGTTGCTTACCTGTTTTTATTGCATTAGTTGATGATATCGTGTCCTTGGCGTCTTGAGCGTGTTAAATACAAGGTAACCTCGCGCATCCGCGCTCGGCACTTAAGTACTGGATAGTATTGGCTTTGTTTTGGAGAGGTCATTATAAATATATAAAGGCTGACGTTCGGAATTTCTGACGTTCTGACATTTTTAATTTTTCACGTTCTGAAGTTCTGATGTTCTGACGTTCTGATGCTATTACTTTATGACTTTATGACGTTCAGACGTTCTTCCGTTGCTATTACTTTATGACTTTATGACGTTCAGACGTTCTTCCGTTCTGGTTCTGACGTTCTATCGTTCTAACGTTCCGATGTTCTTACTTGATGACGTTCTAACGTTCTGATGTTCTTACTTCATGGCTTTTTAACGTTCTGACGTTCTAACGTTCTGATATTCTTACTTTATGACGTTCTAACGTTCTGATGTTCGTACTTTATGACGTTCTGACGTTCTTACGCTATAACGTTCTGATACATATTAAATTTTGATATGCAGCCGCTATAGTCTTTACAGTCATTATGTTTTAAAGCATTTTATTGCTGTGCAGTGAATACTTTTTCGATTCTATACGTAAGACCTGGTGAAACCATCTTCTGACCACTGGTTATTAAAAACAAACAAAAATCTATTGGCCCACCTATGGAAAATATGGAATTTTTTAAGACCAAGCTGGACTTAAACTGACCACGAGTTATCGAGGAGTTAAAAACGGCGCATAAATACGCTTTGGTCGGTAAGCTTGTATGAATACAAGGTAGCCTCGCGCATCCGCGCTCTGCACTTAAGTACTGGATAGTATTCGCTTTATTTTGGAAAGGTCACTTTAAATATTAAAAATCTAGAGTTCTGACGGTCTAACGTTCTTAATTTTATGACGTTCTGATATTTTGACGTTCTGAATTTCTGGCGTTCTTAATTTTTACGTTCTGGCGTTATGATATTTTCACGTTCTGAAGTTATGATTTTCTGACGTTTTGATGTTCTGACGTTCTTAATTTTTCACGTTCTAACCTTCTGATATTCTGACGTTTTGATGTTCTGACGTTAGGACGTTCTGAATTTCTGACGTTTTGATGTTCTGACGTTCTTAGTTTTTCACGTTCTGACCTTCTGATATTCTGACGTTTTGATGCTCTGACGTTAGGACGTTCTGAATTTTTGACGTTTTGATGTTCTTCACGTTCTGACCTTCTGATATTCTGACGTTTTGATGCTCTGACGTTAGGACGTTCTGAATTTTTGACGTTTTGATGTTCTGACGTTCCGACGTTCTTAATTTTTCACGTTCTGACCTTCTGATATTCTGACGTTTTGATGTTCTGACGTTAGGACGTTCTGAATTTCTGACGTTTTGATGTTCTGACCGATAAATTATAAATTACAAAACTTATTGGAAATTATAAAACTTATTGGAAACTTATTGGAAATTATAATTATAATTTGGAAATTATAAATTATAAAACTTATTGGAAATTAGGAAAGTATGGAAAATGTGATCTGTTTTAGAATAAGACTGAAATCGCATCTACGCTTTCGCAGTCGGGTTCTATAAGAAGTATTACCGTTCCAAGGTTTTAATTTTTTACATTCTGACGTTCTGATGTTACACGTTTTGATTTTCTGACGTTCTGATCTTCAGGCGGTTTTAACTTCTGACGTTCTTACGTTCTGATGTTTTCTTATTTTTCACATTCCGACATCCTGATGTTCTGACGTTCTAACTTTCTGATATTCTGACATTCTAACGTTTTGATGTTTTTAATTTTTCACGTTCTGACGTTCTGATCTTTTGACGTTTTAACGTTCTGATATTCTGGCGTTCTAACGTTCGGACTTTTTCTTATTTTTTACATTCTGACATTCTGATGTTCTGACGTTCTAACGTTCTAACGTACGTTCTGATATACGTTTTTAATTCACCTTCTGACATTCTGATGTTCTAACATTCTTACGTTCTGATATTCAGACGTTCTGAATTTCTGACGTTTTTGATTTTTCACGTTCGGATTACCTGACGTTCTGCCTTTTGACGTCCTAACTTCTGATGTTTTTACGTTCCGACGTATAGATACTGTACAGGCGACATACTGGGCGATGTACTTTTACCTTTATGGACGTTTACGTAATTTGCTGCTCACATAATAATTTTTTCATCTACATTAAAAAAGAAGTATTTATGTATCCGCTATAGTCTCCGTGGTTACAGTCATTGTGTTAAGGACTTTTTATAACTGTGCTGTGAATACAATACTTACTTCTTCGAGTGCTCTTTACGTTTCCTATACTTAAAACCTGGTGAAACCATCTTCTGACCACTGGTTAATAAAAACAAACAAAAATCTATTGGCACATCTATGGAAAATATGGAATTTTTTAACACCAAGCTGGACTAAAACTGACCACGCGTTGACGAGTCTCTAAAAACGGCGCATAAATACGTTTTGGTCGGTAAGATTGTATGAATATAAAGATAAAGATAATTAAAATATCAGTTGCGTGGTACTTTCACTTCTTTCCTAAACGGATCACGCACAGTTAGCTTCTATTTGCTCACGTGATCGCGTGCTTTAGAATTCTGGATGTTCTGTACCCATTCCGGGATGTCTGTGGTCGGAGGGAAACTGTCAAATTACGAGCATTAGGCAATTAAGGTTTATGAGTAAAATTTAATGTGGTTCAGTCTCATAGCTGGTGGTTCTGGAAATGGTTTCATATAGCCCGTATGATTTACATTGTATGTACTGTCCGTACCAGCATCGGCAAAACGTTAACCCTTGGCCTTCGGCCAAAACCGTGACATGTTGGGTCGACGCGGGAAACCTATTTCCAAAGCCAGCCCGTGACCTTTAGGAAATCGGCACCAGCGCTACCGAGCTGGAACATTTAGAAATAAAGAGTGGAAGCCGACATTATTGTCGTATTGAATTTCGTACGTGACGCACTAGACCTCATTGGGCTTTTTGTCGGTAAGACACTGATCATGACTAACTAAATGATATGCCTGAATGCCGCATCAAGCTTGGTCAAACAAAATAGTGTTGCTGCGCGCAACTAGTGGCGCGCGCGGCATTACTCTACAGATATGGTGTTTTGCATGGGGGACGTTTTTGCTGGTCGCGGCCGTACCTTACCATTGCCCTAACCATAAATAACCAACACATGGGAAGTATACACGTTCGCAGTAAACATTACTGTTATTATTTCATTGGATCGAACAAAACGTTGCTACCGTTAAAGGCTGGGCCTGCTCCGTTTTAAGGCGATGACAATTTCTTGGAAGGACGCCTATCATGGCCACCAACTAAACTTTTCGACAATCATCAAAAGCGGTTGCATTTTCCAATCGCATTTCTAATCGTCGTCGGATTCAGATTCGGTTTCGTCTTCGGATTCAGACTGACCACGCTCGCTGTCCTTAGCTTCCGATTCGGACGCCTCACGCTCGCCGTTTTCGGATTCCGATCCGTTCTCGGATTCAGATTCGTCCTCGGATTCAGATTCAGACTCGTCCTTGGATTCAGATTCACACCGCACGCGCTCGCTGTCTTTGACTTCGGATTGCATACGCTTGTCCTTCCCTGATTCCGATTTGGATTGTGCACTGTCATCCTCCGCGTATTCGGGCCACCAGAACGGCATATAACGCGACAAGGCATACAAGCAGAATAAATTCAGCTTGCTCACGTCCACGCGGGTCACATTCTCCAGCGTCCACTCGTGATTTCGGTAATGCGCCGACGGACGCGGATCGCAGGATTGGTAGTATTGTAGAACCTGCAGAATAACGTAGCAGGACTAAGCAGGTTAAGCATGTTAACTGCTCCAAGAAACGAAACAAAATATTATATACGGATTCTTAATAACACTTTTGTAAGACCGGTTCCGTTAAGAATTATACGCCAACCAGTTTAAATGATTTGTGCAAGCAAGGCAGTGACTGCATGTCAATGCCGTACCTGCATCAGTTTCTCTTTCTTCAATTTATCATCGATGTGGGAGGCCATCAGCTGGCCAATGCCATCAACATCCAACGGCGGCCCCTCGCAGCCCAGATGCAGCTCCAACAGGTCCGCAATGTGCACCTCATCCACATGTCCCGGTGTGAAGACGGCAGCAGGAATGTCGAACGCCACCAGGCACCAGCATTGCCAGGTTTCCCAGTTTAGCAGTCTGACCACCGCGTCTTTCCAGATCAAACGATCGCAACAAGACAGCAGCTTCACGATATGCGCGGTCATCTGCGCGAAAAGCGCGCAGTTCTTCCCCTGATCGGTCACTGACGGCGAGATCCCCACCGACAGCTGGTGCAGGATGATACGGTCAAGTCGGCTGCCGGCGTCGTCCACGATTTTCCGAATAAGGTCCAGTGTTTCATCGGAAACTCTCATGTCCCAGTGGTGACCGGCAGACACTTCGGGATTGCGGATACAGACGGTGCGAGTGGCGGGCGTGAGGTGTTTGACGATGCAGCCGTACATGGCGTAATTCCGGTCCCACGTTACGGGCAGTGCGGAGCTGGTCTGCTGCCGCGAAACAAGCAAATCTCGGCACAGGTCCTCCGAAGTAAGAATGCCTTCCCACTGTTGACAGGTGCGACGGCAGCGCTGCCGGTCGACGGTGTCCAGTGAATGGAAGATCTCCTTCAGCACTTTTAAGGGCAATTCTAATCCGCTTCGAAAGAAAAGCAGAGTGCTTTTGCGCTTTGGCTCAACATCCGACTCTTCGGTTGTTTGGCGCATTTCACGGTGAAATACAGGTAAAGAATCCATCTCTTTTTCGAACACGCTTGTCTGTGGCAAGAAAAAGCATGTCAATAGTAGTAATACTATAGATTTATTAATTATGACGCAAGTTTACTTAAACTGGACGTACCAGGTTTTGGTATCCCAAGGGCCGCTCATTGCGCCGCCGTAAATAGTGTATTTCCTGACTGAGAACCTTGATGAATCGCAGATGCAATTTGCGCTGAACTTGTTGAACAAGCATCACTGACAACTGGGGGTCCGTAGTCCAGTAGCCGTCAGGTACGCTGCAGGTGTCCATAACGAAATGGTCTGCTGCAAGGCGTCCTGGTTGAGCGATTTGTACAGCTGCATCTCGAATTTGTCGACGTGGCACGAGTTCGCGACGACGCTGCCCGGCAATCATCACTTCTACCAGCGCCACACAATTCAGGTTCTTGAACCAGGGGATCAGCATCTTCCCGGGATACCATTTCCAGGGGCGCCGCGGGCTGTCGTGCAGCAGGACTTGTACAGCGGCGCCCTCCCGAGCCTTGCTGCACCAGTGTGTGGAGCAATCGTAGATCGTCCCGTGAGGAACTAGCACCTGCTGCTGTGTCGGGCATCCAAAGTCGACAATCAGACGCGGCGGGGTGCTGTCGTTCTCTGACGTCTCTTCCAGGCCGATGACATATCCGTGCTGCAGATGACCGTCAATCTCCACATCCACAGCGTTCCATGTGTACACTGATCGTTCGGAATTTTCGTACAGGTACATTCTTAACTGTCTCGGCTGAGAGGAAGAATATAAGCCTGATGTAAAGGGCAAGGTTAGAATGATGTATTTCGTAGCGCTGCTAAAAAACGTCGAAAAGGACAAAAAGGCTTAGTGAAAGCTTACTAAAGTTCAGAGTAGTAATTACAGATACAGGCGCACATACCGTATTATGGCCGTTATTTGCAAAGCGACAGAAAGAGGCTAGCTAGCTAGGCTAGCTCGCTACAAAGAAGATACGTGCGAGGACGAGTTCACCGTTAATTGGCTGAATGTTACGTTAGGAGAATAGCGAGAACATACCGTTGCAGAGGCCGAAGAGTTTCTCAATACTTGAGAGTTTTGACAGTTATTTAAGTTCTTGCAAACGCAAGGCTCATTCACGGAAGAATGCTTAAGCTTTCACACTCGTAGTTCATACAAAATGGCCACTTCAAAGGTTCAAGAGTATCCCGGAATACGGAGTACAGTACTGACTCCATAGTAGCAGTACATAGCACATAGTACGTATGCAACGCTGTAGCAGTGCTGCTACCATAATACGAATGCAGTACCCTACTGCGTACTACTGTATTGCGATTTGTGTTTCTACTACAGTACTGTATTACTATTATCGAAAAGCGGTGGTAAAAACCCTGCTTTTCCAAGCGGCAGTACGATGACGTAAGTGTGAGATGTTAGTTATGTAAGTGAGTGTCGAAGTACAATTTGCACAGTACAATACCGATGGCCACTACTACGAACGGTTTTGCTACCCTTAGACAGCATTCCAAATCACACCCGCCTACGATTTGGACACGGGAAGCCAAAGGTATTTCCTGAACAATGAAAAACAGACTGTTTGTCCACAAGAACCTGGTACACTTGACATTACAAAAGCAAAATTCAGGGTAGATTTTGATTGTTCTGGTTCTGCATTCGCGTACAGTACATTCACGAAACTCCCACTTTCTCGAACTTCCAACCACTTTTTTTGTTGTTTTAAATTTTCTGTAGCCCATTAACTTACTTACAATGACGTGAAAACAGTTAGCTGGCGCGCGCGACATCAGACTTAAGAACCACTAGGTACGAAACTCGAGCCTTGCTGTTTACTCTAACTGTTTACAGTGATTCACTGGATTCGGAGGAAAATCGTTGCGTATCATCACTAACTAAATTACGAAATGATTCCAAATAATTCACAGTCTATCATGTTACTATTTTTACTTGACTGAACAGAAAAAAGGATCGTAATGTCGTAAATTACACCGAACTGGGAAAGACGCCAGCACAGCTTCCCCGTACATTCAATCCTTACGCCGCGCTAACCCGTGGGGCGTGTTAGCTCTGAACTCCGAAGTGATCGGTGAAAGATTAAAGCATATTTTTCGTTTCGTGAAACCATGAATGAGAAACAAATTTTCGACTGCCCTATCTATACTTCTATAGTTGAACAACTGGACACCAAAATTATTCACACATCTCATAATATTCTGCCGGCGTTTTGACCACAAGAAATTCGGCCGGCGTTTTCACCACCAAAAATTCTGTCGGCAGGAAATTCGGTCGGCGTTTCGACCACACAAAAATTCGGTCGGCAGGAAATTCGGCCGGCGTTTTGACATTGGCCGAAAAATAATTACGCCCCCGAAACAGGCCCCATCGAACGCGTTCAAACTATGTATTTCTATTTTGTATCAAAAGGGCACCAATTCGATAAGCTCGGTATTATTTTCAAAATTCCTTAGTGTGCAAAATAGAAAAAGATCCATCCATATTCAGACTTTTGGTACTCGTACACCTGTTCGCATTTAAACTTTTGGAATTAAGCAACTGAATTGAGGCAGGATGTTGTGAAACAGAATTTAGCACGCGCTCCATGGCTATAAGTACCATGTGAATACTGAATACCATACCTTTAGCAATTTCTTGGCCTTCTTTTTGCTAACATCCGGACGAGCCAGGTACTGGGCAATACGTTCCACGTGCAACAGCGCTCCCTCCCAGTGCAGATGTTCCTCCAACAGACCGACAATGTGCACCTCATCAACATGTGCTGGCGTGAAGACGGCCATGGGAATCCTAAACTCCATAAAGGTCGCATGTCTCTCGTTCAGTAGAATGAGGACAAGATCCTTCCAAATCACACGGTCACAGCATGACACCAGTTTGGACAGGTGCGCGACGATCAGGTCAGACAGTACGCGCAGTTCTCCTCGGTTGTCATCATAATCTGATGGTTCGATTTCGATCGATCGATGGTACATGATAAAACGGCGAATACGTGTTCCCCTGTCATGCACGACCTGCTTGATACAGTCCAACGCTTCATCGAGGTAACTCAGATACAAGCGATGTTCAGACGTTTCGGCATCGCCAATGCAGATGGTCTGAGCGCCGGTGGTGATGTGTTCGAATATGCAGGCGTACAGAGCATAATTATCACCCCACTGCACGCGAGAAGAAGGACTGGGCTGCTGCGGCGATACGCGCACTTCCTGGCACAGCTCCGCCGAGGAGAGAAGCGTCTCCCATAGTGCACAGGTGCGGAGACAGAGTTGTCGGTGAACTGTATCCAGAAAATGGAAGATCTTTCGTAGCACTATGAGTTCCAGTTTAGATAACAAACACTCTTCTCCGACATCCAACGGCTTTTTCCGCTTTGGCTCTGACTCTACGCTTTCCTGGAGTATTTTGGGGATGTACGACTCATTCGCACGTCTCTCTCTCGCAAACACATACGCCTACAATAAAGGTCAATAACAACAACAGAATGCGATTTCCCATTACAATAAATTATTAACTGTAACAAGCAGAAGCCAATTCAAGCCAAGCTTCCAAAAGAGCCACTTACAAGAGCTTCATCGCCAAGAGGATCGTCGTAATCAGAAGGCCGCCATAGATAGTGCATCTGCTGACTGAGAACCTTGACAATTCGCAGCTGCAGAAACATCTCAACTCGGCGCAGCAGGAACGCTGCTACAGACCGCTGCAGAATCCAGTAACCGTCCGGAACATTGCACGTTCCCATGACGAAACGGCCCGCTGCGAGGGGTTCGGGCTTCCCGGTCTCTCCCTCCTCCTGTGCGTCTTCCCATCCTCTGTCGCGAAGCTGTTGATGGGGCACCAGCTCGTGACGGCACTGCCCGTCCAGCATAACCTCCACCAGTGCCATATCTTCTAGCTTACTGAACCATCGGACCAGCAGTTTCCCCGGATGCCATGTCCAAGGGCCTTCTGGACCGTCGTGCAGCAGTATCTCGACTTTACCTCCTTTGCGCGCGGTGCTGGATCGATCGATGGAGCCGTCGAAGACGGTCCCATACTCCACCTCTTCGGGCTTTTGTGCAGAGAATCCAAAATCGACGAATAGGGGTGGCGAAATGTTGTCGTTCTCTGACTTCTCTTCCAAGCCGACGACATCGCCGTGCTGCAGCACGCCTTTAATTTCGACATCCACAGCGTTCCAGGTGTACAGGGCGTCAAGATCCTTGTACAGGTGCATAATAATGCCTATGACCTATCCAGAGTAGTGAAGAGGCAGATTCTGAGCCGTTTGTAACGGCATGGTATGCTAAGGAGTAAGGATGGTAGAGATTTCCGATTCCGGTGACGTCAAAGAAAGAAGCTGCTGGTCCTGAGCCAAATTGGTATGAACCATGGATTATCTTCGGACTTTGGGGGTCAAAAATTCAAAACCCAGCTGGCAACGAGAAACGACAGAAAGCACCTGCATGCTGACGTGTCACTATGGTAACCCGGACCGCCAGCTCTGACGGTGAGCTTGCACGTAAGTAACCGTTGGTAGACGTAAGGTTTTTTTCATTTTGTGGCGCAGTTGGGAAGCTTGGGATTGATACATTAGGCGCGGTGCGCCACTAGTACTAACCGATTACATGTGCGGAAATATCGTAGTCGTCATTTGCCGATGGCCCCAGACAGCGCTATGGTTCACTTGGTTTACGAGTACTCACTTTCGTCGATTTGTGGTAGGATCTGCTCTGCTCGCTGCGCTGCGCTTGCTCGCGCCGCAGCTCGGCGTCGCCTTTGGCTCCGCCTTCGGTTTCCGCTACCGTATTAACACGGTAACGAAAAGTTCAAGCGGAACTGTGAGAATTGCTTCAGAATATAGGGGCAATAGAATTCTCTAATTTTACTTTCTGCTCCGCTTGCTGCGCTACGCTTGCTCGCGTCGCAGCTCGGCGTCGCCTTCGGCTTTGCCATCAGTTTCCGCTACCGTATCATCACGGTTGCGAAAGGTTCCAACGAAACAGTAGAAACTTCTTCAGAATAAAAGGCAATAGAATCCTCTCATTTTTCTTGCTGCTCTGCTCGCTGCGCTGCGCTTGCTCGCGCCGCAGCTCGGCGTCGCCTTTGGCTCCGCCTTCGGTTACAGCTACCGTATCAACACGGTAACGAAAAGTTCAAGCGGAACTGTGAGAATTGCTTCAGAATATAGGGGCAATAGAATTCTCTTGTTTTACATTCTGCTCCGCTTGCTGCGCTACGCTTCCTCGCGTCGCAACTCGGCGTCGCCTTTGGCTCCGCCTTCGGTTACAGCTACCGTATCAACACGGTAACGAAAAGTTCAAGCGGAACTGTGAGAAATGCTTCAGAATATAGGGGCAATAGAATTCTCTTGTTTTACATTCTGCTCCGCTCGCTGCGCTACGCTTGCTCGCGTCGCAGCTCGGCGTCGCCTTCGGCTTTGCCCTCAGTTTCCGCTACCGTATCATCACGGTTGCGAAAAGTTCCAACGAAACAGTAAGATTTTTTTCAGAATAAAAGGCAATAGGATCCTCTCATTTTCTTTGCTGCTCTGCTCGCTGCGCTGCGCTTGCTCGCGCCGCAACTCGGCGTCGCCTTTGGCTCCGCCTTCGGTTACCGCTACCGTATCATCACGGTTGCGAAAAGTTCCAACGGAACAGTAAGAACGTCTTCAGAATAAATGGCAATAGAATCCTCTCAATTTCCTTGCTGCTCTGCTCGCTGCGCTGCGCTTGCTCGCGCCGCAGCTCGGCGTCGCCTTTGGCTCCGCCTTCGGTTTCCGCTACCCTATCAACACGGTAACGAAAAGTTCAAGCGGAACTGTGAGAATTGCTTCAGAATATAGAGGCAATAGAATTCTCTTGTTTTACATTCTGCTCCGCTTGCTGCGCTACGCTTGCTCGCGTCGCAGCTCGGCGTCGCCTTCGGCTTTGCCCTCAGTTTCCGCTACCGTATCATCACGGTTGCGAAAAGTTCCAACGAAACAGTGAAAACGTCTTCA